TAATTCGTAGTTGTGCGTCAGATCTTGCGGCGATGTTGCTTATTACGTGTGATTTATTTAGCATATATTCTGTCGCTGGTTTCGAAGAAAAGTGTCCTATAATATCAGAAGTAAAAAATCGTGTTTGAATTCTTGGAAGACAACGTTCTTCCCCTAACTGTCGTAAAGATAGACGACTATTTGCTTTTTTGAAGCGCAATTCGCTGTTATTTGGAGTGTATACATATGCAGACGTAGACGATTGACGTTGAAGAATCAAGTCGATAAATAGCATTTCTGGCATACTTTTCACACGAATTGTTTAAAACGGTTTCTTTTATACTAGCAGAGAGGAAAATTATGGATTTCGAAAAGATCATAAAATCAAAAATATTGCCGTATAATTAAAATTTAAAAATATTATAGTTTGGATTCACGAAAACCCCGATTGCCAAACAACTGTAAAAGCTTTGGTTGCTTGCATAACAGTTGACATAAAACACAGCAATCATATAACAGTTATAGGCGCTTTCTTGCAGAGCACCATGCTAGAATCGCCGTAACACTACCTAACATTCACCATTTCTCTGAAAACGAAATTTTTATACATCCTAAAGATGAACAAATCCAGCTACAAAGCTACCAACGTATCCATCCCACGCATCTGTCGCAAAAATCGTGTAATTTCTGAAATTAAAATTTTCAGCATGCATATAAGTTAACGAGATCTACGAAATGCATTACTTAACTTTTCGTTATATGTTCAGATATAAAAGTTGAAAAACATGAGTTTTTATTTTTGCTTTTTTTTGCCATTCCAAGTAATAACAAAATTTAAAAAAAGTATTATAGTCATTATCCAATAGATTGGTCCTTCTGCCATCTAAAAAGAATTCAAGTCATTTGATCCCGTATCAAAAAAGTCATACCGTTTTTCAAGTGGTCGCTATAGATGAACGAGAATTTATGCTGAATGTGTCGGTAACTGGCTTTAGCCATAACTCGGCCGAGAACCTCTTGCCGTTGCTCCACTTTGTTCATTCTCAATGCATCTGTAAATACAGTACACAGCGACAGGTGCATAACTGAGCTGCGACTTTTAATGGGCGGAAAATGTGCTGGCATCGTTACGGTAATCCCTCGTAATAATAGTAATAATAATAACAATGATAATAATAATAATAATAACAACGCGAAAACAACAACAACAATAATAATAATATCCGCGTCGCCTTAACGGTTTCGTTACCCGCGACGATGCAATTTATTTGTAGCCGACTGATTATTTTGCGAGAGATTAATCCGCGTCCCGGTCGGACGTGGATAAACACGGGGGTGTAAAAGCGAATAAAACTTTTAGCCGGAACGGTTCTCCGCAGACCTATCGCGCGCTCGTCTTCCAGCGTCCGAGGAATCAAACCTGCTTGCTCGCGAAGTCACAGGAGACCCCGTCTCTCGGAGCGTTTTAATCCTCGGAAGCAGAAATTGTTTTGCGCGAGCTATGAAAGCCGGTTTACCTCCACGGGTCCTTTGAGGCTGAAATTGCTCCACGCCAGGAAGGAACGTCTGCTTCTTCCCTGTCCGAAGTCCGAGGCGCAGGAGCTCGCGTCTTCAAGATATAAGTATGTAGTCGCGCGCGCGGTTTATCCGGACTTGTTTTTCTATCGCGGCCTTTCGGAGATCCTGTTTTCCCAGCTCGTTTAGCATAGATCATCGATACTAGCTCTCGTTTAAACTCGTTATCCGGCATTGTTGCGGCGGCAACATTGCAACGAAACTTGCCTCGTCGTTCCTTCGCCTGACCAGACGATATAGGGGTATTATCCTGTGAATGAACATTTTGGCTGCACGTTTGTTAAACTGATTATTCATAATTGTTCCCTTAACTGCGAACCTGAAATCCGACAGACACGGCTGTAAATGTTACTGCTTATTGTTTCCACCGTAAGTGGATCTAAAAGTTATTACTTTGAGTAACTTCTCCTCTCCTTGTCACTCCCATTATGTGTGGTTACGTGTTACATTTAATTTCTATATAAAAGTTAATATCATATCCATTGTATAATTTTGGCGAATACTTGCAGAAATTCGGCTGTCCGCAGTTAAGGATTAACACGTTCCGTGCCACGTGTACCATCGATGGTACACGCTTGCATGTTTACTTAGTGAACTGAACAAATTGTTTACAAGAAATTTAGAACCGAAGAATCAATTTCCACCGCAAGAATGGGCGTTGATAAGTTTTTGTTACGTTGTTATGTGTACGAGAATTAATAATTGCACGTAATACATCAAGTTTTAGTCAAATATCAAAGTGTGAAGATTCGAGTAAAAAAAGCTCGGCACGGAACGTGTTAATCTCCTGCTCTTAAGTTTGTACATCCTTGAACTCGATCTTGCGTCGAGTGAACGAACACTTCAAGCTCGACCAATGTCCACAGAATCTTGAAACATGCAATCTTGTTATGACAATGTTCTTTTACAAATGTTATATATTTAATTTCTGCACTTGTAAGTTGCAGATATTAGACAGTGATTAAAATGCTTTTTTCAAATTTTGCTATTACATACTTGGAACGAAAAAAAAATCTTCCGTTTTTTTAACTCTTTTATCTGAGCTTATAACGAAAACTTAAAAAATGCCTTTTGTTGATGGCATTACTGAAATAATAAAT